CTCTCCCTCTGTTCTCCCTCTGGTCTTTCGTCCGTCGTCTCCCACCTTCTCCCTATTCTCCTCCGCTCCTCCTCCGTCAATACCTTTCCCCCTTCCGCTGCCCCTTCCTTTGCCCCCCTTCTCCCTACCCTCACCCTTACCCTTGTCTTCGTCACTACTCGCCCTTCCCTTGCTCTTCTCTCTCTCCGTCTCCCCCACCCTTCCCTCACCCCTTCCCCTCTCCCTGCCCCCTCCTACGTGACTACCCCACCTTCTCCTCCCCCCACCCTTTCTCCCCCTCCCTCTCGCCCCGCCTCGCATAATCCATTCTGAGCGAGGGCACAATGAGGGACTCTGCTGAGGGTGGTTAGTTTTCAACCAAGCGTGATGTCACTCTCATTATCCGGGGGGGGGGGGGGTGTACGTTTTATTTTTTTAACCTTTTTTTTTTCTGTCTGATTTTGGTTCTTTTTTTGGGTGGGGGGTGGGGGGGGGTCTTTTCTTCCTGTTCTGTTCTGTTCTCCGTTTTGCGATTTTGTGTTCTTTTCTTTTTTTCTCTTTCTCTCCCTTCCCTTCCTTCCCCTCCCCTTCCTCCTCCTCTCCCCCATTCCCTCCTTTCTCCCTCCATCCCTCCCCATTCCTCCTCCATCCCTCCTTCCCTCCTCTTTCCTCTCTCCCCTTTCTTCCCCATCTCTCTCCTACGTCCGATGGAAGGAAATGCCACCGTCAATCCTCAAAGTCGATCCTGCTCAGGTCCTCACGACGATACACATTTCCCTCGCGCTGTCGCTCGGTGGCGGGGGATTAATTGCCGGGGGTGAAAGGGGCTTTGAAGGGGAGGGGGGAGGGGTTGGGGAGGAGTAGGGGAGGGGGGGAAGAGAGATGAGGGAGGAAAGGGGAAGGGGAGAGGGGGGAATGGGAGAGAGGAAAGAAGGGAAGGGGGAAGGGAAGGAACGGGGAGGGGGAGAAGGGAAGAAGGGGGAGGGAAGTGGAGGAAAGGGAGGGGGATAGGGAAAGGGGGAAATGGAGGAAAGGGAAGGGGGATAGGGAGAAGGAAATGGGGGGAGAAGGGAAGGGAGGAGGGAATGGAAAGAAGATGGGATAGATAGGAGTGTAGGGAGGGGAAGAGGAAAGAGGTATGAAGGAAGAGGGGAGAGGGGAAGGGGAATTGAAAAAGGAAAGGGCAAAAGAAATAGGAAAAAATAGTATGGCCAAGACACACACAAACATACACATTCATACATATGCGTATCTGTATGTACGCCTATATAGTTTTTTTCGTGTGCGTGGATATGCATACACGAGCGTTATCTGCACCAGACAATTAAAACGACGCGCCGCTCATATAAAACGAATGGCCTTCTTCAACATGCATGGACGAAAACAAATGTGATTATTTAATGAATTTTCCTCAGATTTTCCTCAGATTTTCCTCAGATTTTCCTCGGCCAGAGTTGTAAGGAAGCGTAATATCTCCGCAAACTGAGGCTCTTGAAAAGTTCCCTCGGTATTAGATTCCGTAAAAGATATTCTGTTTTTCTGCTTTCTCTCTCCTCTCGCTCTCTCTTTCAATTTCTCTTTCTCTTTCTCTATTTCTTTCTAGTTCAATTTCGCTTTCTCTTTCTCTTTCTCTCTCGCTTTTGCTTTTTATTTTTCTCTCTTCTTTCTCTCTTTTTCTTTTCTTTTCTTTCTTTCTCTCTCTCTCTCTCTCTCTCTCTCTCTCTCTCTCTCTCTCTCTCTCTCTCTCTCTCTCTCTCTCTCTCTCTCTTCTTCTATTATATATCTATATATTATATATATATATATATATATATATATATATATATATATATTATATATATATATATATATATATTATATATATATATATATATATATATATATATATATAATATATATATATATATATATATATATATATATATATATATATATATATATATATATATCGAAGTGAAGGGAATGGGGAAGGAGAAGAGGAGAGACCACCACCACACATCCACTCAATCCGTCTCTTGTCGACTCTCTTCCCATTCGTACGTAAGTAATAAGTGGCTCATGTCAATTTCTGTTCGCTAAATCACGGCTCCATCCGCCATCCTACTACATCCGCATCATCCTCTCGCTCAGCTCACTTCAGCTCCTGCCTCCTCCTCCTCTCCTCCTCCTCCTCTCGCTTCCCCTTCCACCCTCTGTTTTCGTTCATTCCTATCAGCCTCTCGGGGCTTCCTTCCTGTCCTTCCCTTCTTCCTTCCTCACGTCCTTCCAGACTCCTTGTCTCTCCTCCTCTTTCTTCTTCCTCTCAATATCCTTCAACTACAGGCCTCTCCCCTCTCCTCACTTACCTCAAGCTCCTCTCCGCTCATCCTCCCTGCTTGTCATCCTCCTCCAAACAACCCGGCGCCCTCCGCCTCCCCTCACACTGTTCGAGAGGGCGGCTGTTGAAGATGAAGAGAGGGAGGGGGGTGGAGGAGAGGGAGAGGAGGGTGGGGCTCAGTAGAAGGGGTAAGGAGGGGGAGGGAAGTGTTTGCGTGCGGAGCAGTAGTGAGAGGCAGGGTGGGTGTGTGGGGAGTTGGTGGGGGAGGGGGTGAGGGTGGCGGGGTGGAGGTAGAGGTAGAAGGGGCGGGAGGGCGTGGCGGCGGGAGTTCCGGAAGAAGAGGGAGGGGGGGAAGGGCGCGGGGCCTGAGGTAGGAAGGGCAGGTACAGCGGGGAGGGGGAAATGAGACGGCATAAACTCCGCTCATCTCTTTTCTCTTTTCTCTTCTCTCTTCTCTCTTCTTTCTCTCTCTTCCACCTCCTCTCCCTCCTTCCTCCCCCGTTCGCTCCCTCTTCTGCCGCTCCCCTCTCTCGCTCTCTACTTCCTCTCTCCCTCCTCCTGCCACTCGTCTCTCCGTCTCTCATCTCGCATCTCCGGATTCGTCTCTCTCTCTCTCTCCCTCCCTTCCTCTCTCCTCCCCCCTCCTCCTCCTCCCTCCCTCCCTCCTTCTCCTCTTCCCTCCCCCTCCCATCCACCCATCCCTCTCTCTCTCTACCCTCAGCCCGCCCCATACCTCACCCACCTCCGCTAGCCACACACCCACCGCCACACTCCCCGGCCTCCCTTCTCCCCTGCCGAGAGCCAAACAGGTGGGTTAACGCCGGGTCTCGTGGTGGGCGTGGCCGAGAAAAGGGGGCGGTCTTTATCGTGTCTAAAAAGAGCATCTTCATTCTTATCTAACGAGTGAACGAAAAAAAAAATTATGAATGAATATTTCTAATCAGATTTTGTGAGCGTTATATACTACGAAATGTTCTGGATTCTTGTATACGAACGAGCAGATACAGCGACCACTACGATTTCTCTCGCTTTGAAGGGCCAGGCCAGAGTCTGACGTTGGCGACCCTGTATTCAAACCTCTCTTCTCTCTCTCTCTCTCTCTCTCTTCTCTCTCTCTTCTCTCTCTCTCCTCTCTCTCTCTCTCTCCCTCCTCCTCCCTCCTCCTCCTCCCTCCCTCTCTCCCTCCCTCTCCTCTCCCTCCCTCTCTCCCTCCTCTCCCTCTCCTCCTCTCCTCCCCCTCTCCCTCTCCCTCCCCTCTCCTCTCCCCCTCTCCTCTCCCTTCCCTCTCTCTCCCTCTCCTCTCCCTCCCTCTCCCTCTCCCTCCCCCTCTCCTCTCTCCCCTCTCCCTCTCCCTCCCTCCCCTCTTCCCTCCCTCTCCCCTCTCCCTCTCCTATAAAGAGGTGCTGAACCTCTCCACCACTGGTTGTAGGCCAGCGAGCCCAAGCAAGGGCGCGGCCTCGTGGAGCGGTGATCGCCCGGGCAGCAGGCGGGAACGAATAAGCGAGAGTGAGCGAAATCCTGCTGAGGGCAGGCTCGCCGAGGGTGTGAGAGCTTGGGTCAGTCGGGGTCAGCTGTTATGTCCCTGACCGGAGGCGTGGCGATGGTGGGGCGATGGTGGGGCGAAATATGGCCCACTCGCCACGTGGACACATACCACGTGTTAGCTCGCCCCACGAGGGAGCACTCACGTGGTATATGAGCTTGCATGCTACGTTATGTTATACAATATGCTTCTCTCTCTCTCTCTCTCTCTCTCTCTCATCTCTATCTATCTATCTATCTATCTATCTATCCCTATCTATCTATCTCTCTCTCTCTCTCTCTCTCTCTCTTCTCTTCTCTCTCTCTATCTATCTATCTATCTCTCTCTGTCTCTCTCTCTCTCTCTCTCTGGTCTATTCTCTATCTTCTATCTCTATCTCTATCTCTCTATTTCTATCTCTGTCTCTGTCTCTGTCTCTCTCTCCATATTTCCCCAACATCCACAAACTCCCCTTTTCCATTCTCACCCCTCCCCCCTCCACCCTCCACCCCCTCCACTGCTACCTACATGCGTCATTCCGTAAGCTTTCAATATCCTAAGCTGCTCACTGATGGCATCTACAGCAGCATGGGCTAATAATCCTTCAGGATTTTGAGAAGAGGAAGAGGAAGAAAAGAAAGGGAGGAGGAGAAAAGAAGAAGAAGAAGAAGATAAAGAAGAGAGAAGATAAGGGAGTGAAGTGGAAGATGAAGAGAGGAGATAAGGAAAAG